AAATTGTTTGTTGTAGAGGCCTTCAGTAGCCTCTGTTGCCTTCAGGTTTGGATCAACTTTTTCAATGATGCCTACCATGTTAATAGAAACTGGTTCGACGTAGTTTATTTCTGCGACGTTTAGAGGATCAACATCTACCTTCATCAGTGGCTTGGTTTTTTCACCAAACTTTAGCCTTCCTTCTTTTATGGCATTTTGAATCAAATCCATGAAAAGGGAACATTGTGAGGTTTTATGGCCTAAAAATTGTGATATTTACAAAAACCTCTCTTCTTCTGTTGATCTAACAGAGGAATTTTAGCACCAGGTGGTACTATCATTTGACCATATTTTACTAATAAGTCGAATATTTCGTCACATTTTATGACGTCGAAAAAATAAGTTCTTTTAGGGAATATCACTCTTATCAGGTTCGAATGGATTTTTTTCCATTCGAATGAGCTAGGACTTTACAAGGATATGGTGGTCCTTGTTTTAACTCAGCCAAATCAACTTTGACCTCTTCGAAGTCTGAGGCTTCGACACACATTTCTTGTTCGTCTATGGTTGTTTCTACATAAGCAACTCTTTCTTTTCTATGGTTCTTGTTTGCTCTAGCCTTTTCTATTTTTAAGCGTTCCACTTTCAAACTCTATCTTCCAATTGGGCCATATCCCTTAAGTAACGGGGATCCAATTTCTTTCTGATGGAGAAATCTAATCCTCTCGCGACCATTTCAACTAATTCATGTTCAGGTACCTGGGTGTAACATCTTGCTTTTAACAGACAAAATCTGTTTAGGTAATTATCAAGTGGCTCACTAAACTTGCGCTTAATCCTAGCCAATTCGCTGATACTTATCTCCGATTGACCTACATATAATTGTTCGTGGAATAGTCTTTCTAAACACACCCAATCATGGATAGAACCTGCTGCAAGGGTAGTAAACCATGTAAACTCATTTTTGGTTAGTGAACTAGGAAAATATTTTATCCTTAGGTTCTCATTGTTTTCTATGTCCCCAACCTCGGTAAGATACCTGGCTATATGTTCAACACTTGATTCGCTGGTATCACCAGAGAATTTTGTGAACTTTGGGACTTTCCAACCCGTAGGCAATTTAGTTTGTAAAATGTATTCAGATAAGGGGGAAGTATAACTTGGCCTAGTAAGGCCTACATGCACACCATTTCGTGCCATAATCCTTTCGATCATGGCTGCCAGATTATTATTTGTTGCTATGTTGTTTTGTCAAACTTAATATAAAACTTCATCAGCATTTTGATTTCTATTTACCATCATAAATCTAGGTTTTGGCTGCCTAAGAATCTGTAGGTCCTGCCTAAAAGGTTCAACCCTAGGTATTTCGACATTCGCAACCCTGGATACTTCGACTACTCCTTCTTGATTCATCATATCCTGAGATGGATTTCTTTGATTTTGTTGAACTTGGTTAATTGTTGTGTCTTCTTCCAAGACTAACCCTTGGTTTTCCCTAACCCATTCCCTCAGAGGATGTGTTGTTGGTTGGGGTACACCAAAAAAATCATGATGCACGTCATTTGCGCAGTCATCTGTTGGTTTGCTTTAGTGGTGTTCTGGATCAAAGGGTTGAAGATTGTACACATAGTTTGTCCAAGCATCTGGACCATTTCATGATTACTCTCGTCCATTTTCTACCTGATCACTCCTGCAGATTGATTTGTTAAGTTTGGTATTTGGGATGAAACTCTTTCGATTGGTGGTTGGATATTTCTACCCATGTTATTAACTGAAGATCCATAACCTTGTAATGGCGAAGTCATGTTCATCACAGGATCTGAATATGTTGAAGTAAAATTATGTAACCCCATCATAAACGAAGATGACATTCCATAAGGCCATTCATGGTAATTCTGAGACATGGAAAAACCAAGTGGCCCCTGAGGCATATGAAAAATATTTCCCCTAGACAGGGGGTTCCCTGTGAATCCTGTGGGCCCATGTAAGTTAATAGAGGGCCCGTGTAAGTATTCGATTGTGTTGGCGTCGAACTTTTTAACGATGGTATGGCCTCAAAAGAAGGTGCATAAACCGTATTTCCCCATGTCGAAGTGACTGGGCGTGACACTTCATCATTGTTAGGAGGATTGTGATTTCCTGCCTGGCCTTGATTCGCCATTCTCCTAACGTATTTTCTTTTGAGTATTTCCTTGTTGTTTGTGGCTAATTTACCACTCCTAAGTTTCATACAACACGAAGAAATACAAGAAGATAATGAAGAATTTCAAAGAACTTTTTAGAGTGGAATAGAAAAATTACCAGAAAAACAAGAAATTGAACACAAGGTCTCACCGGGTGTGCCAATTTATTTAGCGTGAAATTTGATAAATAACCGTTGATCATCCAAATCTTTGTAGAAATGGTAACTTGCAGGATCGATCAGGTTGATCCTAAGTACGTGTGTTCTTATTTAATATTTTTTATTCTTATAACAAAGAGTATTTTCAACAACATCTTCATTATTTTAGATAAATGTTATTTCAATTATTATTTTGTAGATAGTAACATAGTACTTTAAACATAAGAGTGAAATGTAAAAGGCTTTCGACTATAAATGTAAAAATGGTGCATCATATGTACATTCTCGCAAACTTTCTCTTAACGTTGGTACTTTGAGTGATTTGAGTATTTGTACAAAAGATGTAAACACACTGAATCCTACCACTAATACCCCTATTTATACTAATTTCGACCAAACGGTCTCTAAATAATATGACGCCACGTTCCACAATTGCATGTATCTTCGAATTCCAAGCTTCCACGCGTCTCTTTGGATAAGATTAATCCTTTTGAGTTTGAAGCATGCTCATTGATACTTCGAATAAACTTGATGTCTCTATGGTCCGTATACAAACCTTTCGCCAACACTTAGCAAAATTAAAGCTTCAGTTTTAGCTCTTCACTTATCGAAATCTTCTCATGGACTTTTTTATTCTTTCCTTCGAATCACATCATCTAAAATATATTAATTCAACTAAAACTCATGTAGTCAAAATTTCCAGTTAACAGCTGCCACGTAGCTTAAATAAACGAACATTTGAGAAAAACAGACAAAAGAGACTCATATACATCTATTAAAAAGTTATAAGAACAATATGACACGAAAAAAAATTTAAGAAATTAATCTGAGATCAAAGATATAATAAAAGAACAAAACTTTTTTATACTTTTTAATTAATATATCACTTTAAAATTTATTTTATGTGACAAGATTTCATTAATATACATCATGTAAAATAAATTACCTCTAACTTTATAATATAATAAAAAATTTATTTAAAATATAATAAATATAATATTATATTAAATAAAATAAATATCGTAAAAAATATTAACTTAAGAGTAAGGCAAATACTATTAATTAAAATGTTAAATTAAAAAAAATAAGTTAAAAATTGAAAGACTCATTTATTAAATACTATATTTTTATAAATAGGTTAATCATTATGAAATGGATGGGATGATAATTATGATGATGGTACCTGAACAAGATAAGATAACTACGACTTTAATATAATAAGCTAGCTAGTGTTAGAATGTGTCAATTATTGAGCTCTAAAGTTAGAAGTGTAAAAATTAGAACCATTCAGCTAGCATAGGATTCTAACTTTCATCACATGGTTTGTCGCTTTACAACATGCCTCTATGAGCAACTATGTCACAATTTTTTTAAAGAACTTTTCCACTCATTTTTTAATGGAAAAATTAGTTGAATTGAACTCCAAACACTCATTCGAGTTAGGGTAGATTTCCAAAAGATTAATGAACGCAAATAAAAATAAATAATTATAAATGTATTAATAATTTTTATATATTATAAGTGAAAATTGAGTCCACGATCTTCTTTCTGGTCTTACTTGTAAATATATATATATTTAAAATAATTATGTTTTTTGAAACACCTCTCACTTTCTTGAAAGTTAGAATTTTTATAGAAAGTTATTCTTTTTTCTCGAAAAAATGTTATAGTAGTAGTATAAAGAAAAAAATATAGACTTAGACTTATAGATTAGTGAGGTTGCTATTAAAAAGAAAAGACTAGTGAGGTTGTTGGTGAACTAAATGTTGAGAAATAAGGCTATTTTATATTTAGATGTGGGGTACCATATAGGAGACCCTAAAGTAGAAGATGACAATAGACTTTGAATTGAGCTAATTGTGGCCGTTGCTAAATGACCAAGTTGTCTATGCTTTCAACCAATCAAAGATAAGAAGCATCCATGCAAGCATGTACCTACTCCACTTGAAAAAGAAACTCATTCATTTTAAAAATTAGATCAACATTTTTTTATCCAACAAAAAATAACTACTAAAAACTCATATACATAATTATAAAATCACATACATAATCATAAAAGTTGAGGTTTAAATCCTGATATTTAATTCTAATTTAAAAATATCGATTTTTGCAAGTTAAATTGTACAGACAATTAGACCAAACATTTAAGTAAAAAATTGTACATACAATTTGATCCATGTACATTTGAATAAATCAACAATGGAGTACTATACTCAATTATCATATCAAATGATCAAATGAAGCATAATATAAATATGCACACTATTCAAGGTCAATTATTTTGATAGCAAATACTTCATGTACACAAAATCAAAAGAAATATTAATCCATCAACCCAAAACTAAAACAAGATCAAACATGCAAGATAAAGAAACAATTTTTATTTCTTTATACTAAACTTTATACAAAAAATAACATAACCTCTTAACTACCCAATTAAACTCTAGCTAAGATTAACGTAATAGAACCAAAATCACTAAAAAATATTACATAATAGAACCAAAAGCTTTGATTCTAACTAGTTATCACAATTATTTTTTTCAACAAATCGAAGTAACAAAGAACTAAATCTCAATGAATCGTGACAACAATAACTAACATCGTGTTACTTACAACAACATGTGGCTAGGTAACACTAATTAATTAACTTGCTAAAGGTGAATGTTTCACATTTCTACGATCAATTAGCTACAGCTCTTTCAACATGGCGTATGAACACAGTTTCTAACTCAGGTGGATTGAAAAACTCTCTTGTTTTACCGCGATAATTCCGTTTCAAAGACGATTTTCGCTTCCTCGGAGCTGGTGGACATATCAAACATGTTGGAATTCTTGATCCTTCCCCTCTTGGTGTTGTTGAACACTCTTCCTCCATGATACTTTCCTCTTGTTCACTTATCTTCAAAGGAATTGTGTATATTGGCTTCAAATTCAAAGGTGTTCTTAAATTGATGAGCCATTTTTTATTTTTCTCTGAATTTTCTAACCCGGTTTCCACTTGAGATTTCTTTGGTAACCCCATATTTAACAAACGAAAAAGTGATTGTGGAAGGGAATAAATTAACGAAGATGGTTATTCTTTTTTCCTGAGGAATCAAGTAGTGGGAAAGTGAATAAGAGTGACCAGAAGAAGAAGAATAAAGAGAGGAATTGGAAAAGTTTTTTTGCAGTTAGAAAGAGATTAAAGAAAAAGCAAGTTTGGGTAAGGTTCAATGGAAAAGAGCTTGTTTGAGAAGATTGTAGAAAAGTGAGGGACAGAGAGAAAGTAGGTTTAAGGGTTATAGGACTTATTTATATTTATATAGGGAATTTGGTGTGCGTGTAAAAATGATTGTAGTGTTTTTCTTGATATAGAAATAGAATTACTTTCAAGAATAAAGACACGCTACAATTGTAATGAAAAAGTGTGTTGGTGATAAAATGGTATAAAGTCCAATTGTATATAGTAAAAATCATATATCGGTAATATTACCCTTTAGGCCAACTCAAATTAGCTTTTAAATTAAATGGATAATACTGTCTTGTACTATGTATAATGTTTTTATTAATAAAATTTATTAATCAAATTATAAAAATAAATTTGTATCGATGTAAAAGATATCTCATTTATATTTTATAGAATTAAATTAAAAATGTTTAGTTAAATCAACTCAATTAATAATTATACATAAACAAATAAAATTGAAAACAAAGACAAAACTGGATCTATATAAAAATTTATATTTAAAATTAAAAATTAAATATATTTTTTGTTCTTATAAATAATTTAAATTCGATTTTAGTTTTTATAATTTTTTTTAAATAATGATTTTTTTAAAATTTTTGATCCTTTCTCTTAAAATTGTCATTAAGTGATAAAAAATTATCGTTAAATTGTAGAAAATTAAAATATAATAAAAAATTTTAAAATGATTATTCTTTGAAATAAATTTTTTAAAAGTTAAAGTTGAAATATGAGATATTTAGATAGAGAAAGAAAATTATATAAAACCAAAAATATGATTAAAATATAAATCAATGAAAAATATGAAGACAATACAAGGTAAATAAATAGAACAAAATAACTTAATTTATGGAACACAAAATCATAATGATTGTTCGGGTTTGAAAGTTCATAATAAAATAGGATAAAATATAAGAAAAGATCCATGACTTGCTCCCTAAGAAACATGTGCTTGTTTACTTTCTAGAAACAATTTATGTTATTTATTTCTTTAGTTTATGTTTATTTTATTTTAACAATAATTTATATTTTTAAAAATTAATTTTCGGTAAATATATGATGTTAAAGTCTTTTGAATCTTAAATATTTATGTTAGTAACATTTTTGACGCTCTTCAAATTTTCTAATAGATTGAGTTGAGTTAGACATGACTTGAATAATCAAACTAGTGTTGAAGGAAGACTTGGTTAAGCAATGTAACTTAATCAATCAACTAGTATATCGTCAAGTATGACTTAGTTATGTGATTTATAATGTTAAGAGCTACAACTAATTAGTGTGGTTCTCCATTGATGTAGGAAGGATGATTTATGTAGGAAAAATTATTGTGCATATTGAATATGAAGAAATCACACATTAGAAAAATTCGGTAGGATTTGTACAAGTTTGACGCTCGATGCAAGAATAATTATTATTATACTTTTTAGGCCAAAAAACAACATTTTATTATTTTACGTAATTTTCCATTTTATTTTTGTTTTGGATTAAAGCCTATTAAAGTTTTTTTTATGTATTTAAGCACTCTTGGAATTGACCATCAAAATTATCTTTTATCATAATAATATTCAATACTTTTTCTATCTTACAGATTCTAGAGTTTTATCTGACAGGTTTATCGCTTGCAAACTGATGCTTTCGTTCTAAAATTAGCAAGATCTTTCTAATCTGTAGTGTTTTCTACTACATAAATCATCCATAGTAGTCAAGGTTCTATCAGGTGTCAAGTATGTTACGACAGAGACATTTGTTCCTTATTAGTTATATACTAGTCCATAGTCCTCAAAGCGTCAAGCATGTTAAGACGTGGGGATTTGTTCTTCATTAGTTTGACTTATATTGATTCGCTCACAGTCCATCAAGTAGCAAATTTGTTAAAACGTAGATATTTGTTCTTCATCATGTCCTATATACATGTCCATAGTCCACCAAATGTTGAGCCTTTAAAGTCGTATACTTATTTTCTTCATTAGGCCGACCTATATTGACTCCCAACATAGTCCACCAAACAATACGTTTGTTAAAGCATAGATTTTTGTTCTTTATAATATCTCATATAGATTTCTATAGTCCACCAAATGCCAAGTCTATTAAGGGCCTATACATTTTTTCTTCATTAGATCGGCTTATATCAACTTAGTAAGTGTATTTGGTTCAAAGGTAACAACAATAATAACTTTGAAACACGAGCATTATTTTTTTTTACTTGGTCATGAATTGTATTGTTTAGCTCATAGTGAGCTAGTGATTTGTTTGTTGTATTTAATCAGTTTGTTATATTATTACATAAATTTATTTTTAATTATATATTTATTAGTGCGTGAGGCACTTTTAGTGAAGAGAGAAAGAAAAAGAAAATAAGGATTCTATTATTGAATTATACAAATTGAATTATAAACTATGACTATTTATATTTTATATACAACTAACTTGTACACTAAGTAGGCTAACAAATCTTAACCGAGTTTGGGCTTGGGTTACTCAATTTGGATTATATTTTATATCTCAACATACCCCCATATGATTCAAATTGTCGAACATACACTAATCATAGTCAATCTGAACTATTTCTAATTCCTTTCTCAAATTTAGGAACTTATCGATCTTCAATCCTTTGGTGAAAATGTACGCCAACTGTGCTTCACTTCAGCAATGCCTTACTTCAAATTCACCTTAATTTACCTTCTCCCTCAGAAAGTGAAATCTAGCTTTGATATGCTTACTCCTTCCATGCAAAACTGGATTCTTGGCAAGATTTATGGTTGACCTGTAGTTGATCTGTAGCACCAGGGGTTTCTTCACTTTGACTTCTATTTATTCAAGCACAAATCTAATCCAAATTGCTTGAGACATATCATATGATCATGCTACAATGCCATCACATGTTGCTTTCTCGAGCACCATGAGATTGGGACACCAAAGACTTGAAAGAAATAACCAGTGGTACTTCTTCAATCTTTCTTATCTCCACATCAATCAACATCTGAATAACAAGTAATTATAGCTTCTTTGCTTTCAGAATCCCACCAAAATAGAATTCCACAATTTTATAGATCCTTTTAAGTATCTCAGGATTCTTCTTGCATCCTTCATGTGTCACACCCTTGGTTCACTCATGTATCTGCTCACTAATCCAATTGTGAAACTTATATCAGGTCGGCTGTTGCACACAAATCTTAATGATCAAACTATTTGTTTAAACTAAGTTACATGGACCATGTCTTCCTCTCCATGTTTGTCCACTTCAAATTTGGTTTGACGTGCGAAGATGTTGCAGTTGAATCATCCATTCCGAATTTCTTGAATATCTATTTGACATACTTTATTTAATGTAGCACCATTACTTGCTTTCTAATTTGAAATTTCATTCCTAGGATATAAGACAAGTTTCCCAGATCCGATATTTCAAATCTCCTCCTCATCATCTCTTTGAACTTCAATAAGATCTCCAAACTATTTACAGTTATCACTAAGTCATCAATATATAAGCAGATGATTATTATATCTTGTGCTACAACCTGAACATAGACATTATACTCAAATTTTTCATTTGATGAATCCCAAATCGACTAAGTATGAGTAAATCTTATTGTTCCATGCTCTAGGTGCCTGTTTGAGGCCATATAGCGGTTTGTGAAACTTATACACCTTACTTGCTTCCTTCTAAATCACAAACCCAAGAGGTTGTGTGACATAGACCTTTTTGTCTAAGGGACCATTCAGAAATACAGACTTCACATCTTAGTGAAATATTGACCGGCCTTGCTTGTATGCCAAGTCTACCACTAGTCGAACATTCTTTAATATTGCTACTAGAGCAAATACTTTAGAGTAGTTGAGTCATGCTCTCTGAAGAAATCCTCAATCTACCAATCTCGCCTTATGTCTTGCTATTGAACCATCAACATTGTGTTTCAACTTGAACACCCACTTCATTTTAATAGCTTTTGTGTATGTTAGAAATTCGACAAGCTTCCATGTGTTATTTATTTCAATTGCATGCAACTCTTAGACCATAGGTGACTTCTATTCTTTATTCTTTAAATCCTCACTATAGTTGATTGGTTCATCACCTGCAAGTAAAGCAAAATGAACTAATTCTCCATTTGGTGATACTTCATCATTACTAGTTACTTCATAGTCTTGAAGTCTTGTTGGATGAACTCTAGTTCTTTTAGGTCTTTGGCTTGTGCTAGCCATACCCTCTTCAACTTCGACTGTGTTGGGAATGTCAGTAAATGCTTCGACTTTGACTGTAACATTATCAATTTCTTTGACTTTGACTTCATCAGTTTCTTTGTCGAATTCATAGCTCATCAATGGGTTGTTAATTGCATCATCATAATTCCAATCCCGTGTAGAATTCTTATCAATCACAATGTCTTGACTTATCATGATATTACCGTTTATTATATTGAATAGCCTGTATGCACCAGTTTTATGATATCCTACCAGAATCATATGTTCACTCTTGTCATCAAGCTTCCTTCTTCTTGCATCAGGAACATGTTTATAACACATAGAACCAAACACCTTCAGATGACTCAATAATGGTCATTTTCCACTCCACACATCTTCAGGAACCTTGTTCTTCAATTTCTTGGTAGTGCACCTGTTTAGAATATAAACAACAGTGGAAACAACTTCACCCCACAAGGATTTTGGAAAATCATTTTTTCTTCAGCATGCATCTCGCCATATACAATATGGTTTTGTTTCTTCTTTATGCAATTCCATTATTTTGAGGCGTATAAGGAGTAGTTACCTCATGATCGGAACCATGTTCTGCACAGAACTCTTCA